AAACATACTCATCCCATCGGTCAGTCCAGGGCCTACACAGCTCGGCCAACAACTCCTCTAGCCATCCCCCCAGTTTTTCTACCGATCCTTGGCCTCGAGCGTGATCAGCAGCACCAAACACGATGTTTGCCCGCAACCATCTGCACAAGTGCTTCACCGGTTCTGCACCAACCTCTGGGCCTTCGTCGCAGCGTACCGTCTTTAGAACTCCGTAAGTTAGACACAGCTCTACCACCACTCGGGCTACGCCCACAGCTTGATTGGTTTCGAGCGGGAACCCGAAGGGAAACTTTGAGGCGCGGTCCACCACGAGTAAGATGTGGTTGTTGCCAGTTTGCGATGGTGTGTCGATCTTGAGGATGTCCATATGCAACTCGTCCTACGGCTCAAGCGGTCTACCTGCCATCATGGCTACTCGTCTGCTGGGCGGTCTCTTGTGTCTACAACAGTCGCGTGACAACACATAGTGTCGAGTGTCGTTCGTCATCGTGGGCCAGTGCAAATGATCGCGCAGGAGGGATAGCGTGCTACTCCTGCATGACCATGTAGCGTGTGTACCAACGCAATGATGTCAGCTACCATGGCGACTGGAATAGCAGGCAGTTTTCTTCTCTTCCCATCGTTGTGCCGAATCACATCATCCGCGCCTAGGCTATACCTGTCGCGCTCACTTCTCCCCTGGCTAGAGTCAACTACATTGCTCAGAACCTTGCGAACCTGACTCAGATGGGTGTCGTCTCGTTGCCGATGCGCTAGCTCGGACGGCCTTGTGAGCACTCGTGCTGTCAGATCGATGGCTGNCGAAAGCCAACGCTCGAAGGGCGGACAGGTGGTAGTCGGCCACGTCCGGGGTGTGATGAGAGGTGTGGGGGTCAGCATTGCCTACTTGTCTACCTGCACAGGGTCCAACTCAGCCAGCCTTACACCCTTCAACTCTGGTCCTAAGATCTCTACCGCAGCGCCTGCAGCAAACGACAGATCATCCGGAAACGAATCGTCGACGTCGCCCTCTCTCTACCGGGTTCGCCACGGGCAACCGGGACAAAGCATCGGGCACTACGTGCTCTACCCCCGCCTTCCATTCCAGCTCCAGGTCGTACTCCATCAGCCGCAGCGCCCACCTGTGCAGCGTGGGGCAGAGTTCACGGCTTCGGAACAACCATGTGAGGGCAGAACAGTCTGTCACCAGTTTGAACCGTCTACCCGCTAGGTACGGCCGGAAGTGATCTACCGCCCAGAGGACCCCCATGCATTCTCGTTCCGTGTGCCCGCGTCTAGCATCGGTTTGTGAAAACCGGTGGCTCGCGAACGCCACCGCTCTGGTGACACCATCGATTGTCTGCATGAGCGAAGCACCTACACCCAGCGTGCTAGCATCCGTGTGCAGTTCGAACGGACGCTCAAGGTCAGGGAAAGCGAGGACCTTCGGGGAAGCCAACGTTTCTCGTAAATACTGGAAGGCGTCTTCCTCAGCTGCGGACCACTGGATAGGAAGCTTGCGTGCACGTTTCGAAGCGAAGGCTTTGTTGCGCAGGATGTTGGCGAGCGGAGCGGCAGTCAAACTGTAGTTGGGTACAAACTGACGCAAGTAGCCGGTGAGACCCAGAAACGTGCGCAGCTCTTCTACGGTGTGTGGGCGAGGCATGCGTGCGATTGCATCTACCTTAGATGGAGCAGGGTACAGGCCCGTGCTGTCGATGATCGTGCCGACGAACTCCTGCGATGCTGCGCCGAAAATGCACTTCGCGAAGTTTACGGACAGCCCCGAAGCCAGAAGGCGGTTCATAACGAGCGTCTGAGTGGCGAGATGTTCTTCCCGTGTGTCGCTAGCGATGAGAATGTCGTCAAGCCAGCTAAACACGCCCGAAAGATGCCCCAAAGCCGACTTTACTCTACGAGTGAAGGCCGCCGGAAGCACCGTCAGGCCGAAACCCGCAAAGCATACCATCCGCATCTCGAAAGGTCGTCTTGTAACGGTCTTTCTCGGCGATTTCCATCTGGTGAAAACGTGAGGCGAGGTCTAGCTGAGTGAAATACGTCTTGCCCTTCAACCCGTCGAATATCGTCTGCATGTCACCCAAACCCCCACTATCCGAGACCAAGAGTTTGTTGAGTTCACGCCAGTCGGTGCACAGTCGCCGCGTACCATCCTTCTTAACGCGCAAGCACTGGGCAGCCCATGGAGACATGGATTGACGGATCATTCCTCGGGTCTACCAACTGCTGAATCTCTGACCTGATCATATGTCGTTCTTCCGGAGAGAAACGCCGTTGCTTGGCTGCGAAAGGTGTGCAACACTCGTTGATCAGAGGAAGCTTAAGCTCACCGTTGATGCAAGCCGGCACTCGCTTCTTGTCGATCGGAAACAGGCCGTTCTCGATGAACGTTGCGAGGACGTTGATGAGTTGCTGCTTCTTGAGCGACCCCAGCGTCCACAGGTTGGCGTCCTCTACGCGAACACGCGGGATGGATTCCCCATCAGGTGGGGAAGGGCTCGGGGCGCGCGGTTCACGGGGAGCCACGGGTGGGTCGGCAGCAGAGGGGGCGGTGTCAAACAGCGAATCGAAGGCCGGCTTGTCGCGAACACTGAGTGCTGCCATGCGAGCTATCACCCGGCTACCCTCGACTGCCACCTTCTCCTTACTACGGTTTACCAACTTGCACGAAGCAGGCGACCCCGGAACCCACCACATTACCGCGCGAGCTACTCCCACTACAGCTCCCTGCTCTAAATCGAACCGCTTGGTCGGCAAGACCATCACTAGCTGCCTGTCCTGCGGTTGTGGCCCCACAGCCGCAGCTTCCACCGCGCGAGTGGTGAAACCCTCGACGCCGGTGGTCTCCGGAACTTGTCGCACGTCCCACTCGAAGGAGGTGTCGTCCTCCCACACCACGTCCTCGTAGCTGGGCACTTCTGTGGGAACGGCGGGCACTGCGGGGGCATTCTCGGGGGTAGCCGTCAGTAGACTGAACTGGTCCCGAGCGTTGCGGAGGGGGCTTGCAGCCTGGGAGGCGTATGGTGCAATCGACAGAAAAGGCACCCCGGGTGCTGCTGGTACAGGCCTGAAGCCTCTGCTGGAGCTGAAATCGAGCACGCTAGCATTCCGGCTAAAGAAGTCTGCTCCTACAATGAACCCGTTTGGCAACCCGTCTACCACGCGTACCTCTACGTCTCCTACTCGCGCATCGCCGTCAAACAGCACCGGCAGTGCTACGGATCCCAGAATACGCATCGGAGGGGTATCACTGTCGCGAGGGTTAGCAGCTTTGAGAGCTCCTGCACCTGATCGTGTGGAGAGGACATCGTTGCTAGTGCGAGACAGGCGAAGAAGGAATAGTGTGAGAGTCAGTGCAAAAGAACTAGATTCAACCCAAGGTCAGCAAGCACGGGGTACACAATAATGCGAGCATGCACGACTAGGAAATACTAGGGCACAGCAGTTGCAATGATCGCAAGGGGAAATAATTATTAAAGCAATACCAAAAAAAAAATTGAAATATAGAACAAAACACTGGTTCAACTATACAATGGATACCACCTATCTATGCGGCAGAAAGGGGAATGCTTCCGCACAGAATAAGCGAGTGTCGCAAGGCGTAAATACTGAATGCAGAAAAGCGACAAAATAATCACGACCCAGTGCGGTGCTCCCTGCGCGCAATAGAAACGATAAACTCGAACAACAGCGGTAGTCTAGGTGGGATAGTGCATTCTAATAAAGAGAGAGGTGTCTGCATTATATATACCGAGCGAGTAGGATTTCGATGCATTTATGAATCTTATATGTTTTCTGCTCGTTCTAGGGCGTATGAGTTTTTTGTATTTGTTCTTGGCATTGCTTTTAGTTTATGCTTATCAATTTCGTCGTACTTATATTAAGTATGGAAGGTTTATCTCTTATTTCTTTTTATGTTTTGGCTGCTTGGAAAAAAAAATCGAGGAGGAAGCATTTTTCAGCATAAGCTGGGATAAAACATTGTCTTCTTGGTTCTGTTGCTTCTATATTGATGTTGTTTGGGTCATCTTTAATATATTTTTCATTGGGTACTACAAATTCAGCCTCTTTTTCCAATTCTTTGGGGAGATTTTGTATTTCATTTGTGATTTATTAACTCTTTCTAGGGTGTATTTGTGGTTTGGGTGAGACTAAGATCAAAATAATTCTCGGTTGAGATTGCTTTTTTATCAGGTCTTGAATTTACTGCTTTACTTTTTTTTTTGGTTCATGCTGGTGCCATCGCTGCGCTGGTAGTGTTTGTACTTATGATGCTAGATGTTAAAGCTATTGAAAATCCTCGGTCAGCAAAAAATCGATCCAGAAACTGATTACCCGAATTAGCAAGTCGAAGCCTGAAAGGAGCCGACATCACAGTACTTAAAACCCCAGAAAAACCACCAAGGATTAAATATCAGGTACTCATATCTTTGTAGTTGGTGGAAAAAATAGCCACCAAGAAGAAAAGGTAGTTTAAAGCTGACCTAAAAATCCGAAAATATATATTTATATGATATTGAAGTAATATTATTGATATCTATACTGCTGTAGGACATTAGCTAAATATCAACAGGCCTAACCCGACTTTACAACTTAATAAAAAAAAGATAAGGGCCAAACGTGTAAAAAAAAACAATTCAACCACCTAATACTAGGACTATAGAAGTACACCTCGTTAAACGTTAAAGGAGCAGCAAAAAAAAATTATGTATACTTATTTGAAGAAAAAAATAAAAGACTCTTTATAAGCCTTGTATAGTAAAAAAAAGCTGAAATAACATTATGGGAACGACAGACCCATGCTTCGTACGGCACACCTATCCAACCAACGAAAAGAAATAGCTGCACGTGAATAGAACACAATTGAACGAACCGCAGGCGTGCAGCAATCGGGACGGCTTTAGTCGAGGTATGATCGAGCGTCAGACGCCACGGTACCAGAAAGTGGGGTGGGAAGGAGAGGTTATCTATGGGAGGCCCAACCCCACCTCAATAGCTCTCTGAAACCACAGTGGTCAACAGGTTACTGCCGAATGTGAGACTGGACCAGGGAGGAGAGGTCACGAGGATGATCCCCAATATGCACAAGGTTCCACACTACTAGCAGGCAGCTCGACCCAGTGTGAGCGGCGTTACGCACTTTTTCACACCATCATCGTTTCTGGCTGCCGCACGGGGAGTCTGCTGCTGTGGGGCCGCAAGTGCGAGAGACACGACCCATCAGTGTTCACTCGATCCTATCAACCTGGTAGTTCAGCAGTCCAGTGGCAACAAGCTATCCACTCGGGTACGGAAACAACAGCTATTGCGGTGGCGCCAACGGGCAGAGGAAAAAATACAAGAAATCCAAGCTCTGTACCTTCGCCTACAAAAGTATGCAGAGTCGCATGGACGCATACACATGGCAGCTATGCACACCAGTGTAAAATGCGCGTCCACAAAACACAAAATACAGGAATCACGAGTACTCTAGGCCAGGGTATAAAGGGTGTATGCGCGCTCGTAGGACGGCTGCAGCGCAGAGGATTACAAGGCACAAGCGAAGGATGTGTTCACGCCGGAGCGCGCTGATTGAGACAAGCGGCAGGCTGTTGAAGGGCGAGCGCATGATAAGGAAAGCAAGGAAAAAGGGCCAAAACGTGCAAGCGAGAGGAAAAAAAAGCCAAGAGGGACGCGAAAAGGGGGCTGCAAGCCACACGGCTGCAGCATGACGAGCGCATCGACGGCTCTTCGACAGCAACGACACGGAAGGACACCATAGAACGGATGGAGAGGCTAGGGATAGGGGCTGGTCCAATGTCTGTGTGGGTCTGTGTGGTCTCTAACCATTCAAGTGACAGGACCCTGGGTGTCAAGAGGAATTGTCCACAGGGGATTGTACATGGGACCCCAGCCTACAAGCAAGTACTGCTACCGACCTGATGGTAGCTGCCTCTCGATCGGTACCGAGTTCGGTAGATGAGCCGGAACAGCGGTAGAAGTGAGCCTCGAAGGTGGCTTGTGACAAGGAGTGGAAGGTCTCCGGTCGTGGATACGGTATTCGCTTGTTGATAATTAATTGCTAACTCAGGGCAAGCAAGGAGAAGTAGTATGGAGAAGTCAAGTCAAGTGAAGGCAAGGGGACTGAGCAACCTAGCCTCTAGACGGGCCCCGGCAAACTGTCAGGAAAATCGTGCGTCGAGACCACCAGTAGTCGGCCACGGTTTGACCTTTGAATACAATTGCAGCAACTAGTCTGCGTAGCAGTAGAAAAGAATCCATCTCTCCTTGGCATGTATTCTCTTGTTCTAGAAATATTCCGGAAGCATGCTAGGTCAAGGTTGACCGGGACATCAATGTAGAACGTTTGTAGCTTCTGGAAGCCTTCTGGAAACTTCTGGTTCCTTCTGTAGCTTCTGGAAGCCTTTTGGAAACTTCTGGTTCCTTCTGTAAGCTTCTGGAAGCGTTCTAGATCTAGGTTGCAGTTGATACTCTTCTAGAATGTAGGAGGACTTCCAGAGATCATTCTGGAAGCATTCTGGATCTTTCGTGTGATTGTCTTATTTGTCCGGTATTCGAGAAGAGTGGTGCAGCCCTAAGCTCGCCCACTCCTCTCACTCCTCTCACTCCTCTTCAGTACCAGCAACATCTGACTCGGGAGTCAGCAACTAATAAAAGCATCTTCATATTTAACAGGGTTTTCGCACGATTGAGAGCGAAGTTTCCGATTGAGAGCGAGAACCAAAAAAAATCGAAATTCGGGTCTAGACGCCTCCCGTCATTTCTCGGGAAGAAGGGGACGGGCTCTTCCAAAAAGCGGCGCAAATTGAAGCTCTCTTCAGCAGCTTCGCGTGCATATGCGTGTCACTGCGATCGGATGCAGCAGCGAGGAGCTACTCACGATGCTAGATTTTCCCAAATTGGCTATTCCTGCCCGAAACTGTTTCAGGGCGCCGTCGCCTGGCGCGGTAGGCCCTCCCGTGGCTTCTGCTCCGCGGTGTAGCTCCACAATGCGAGACACCAGCAGGATGACCCGGGCATAGGCTTGTAGCTATGGGCAAGCCCTTCAATTCAAGCCACACAGCAAGCTCTACCTCTCAGCAGTAGACAAGCTACATCGTATCGCACGATCTCG